GCTCCTGGATAACGAGGATCTCGTTTCTGCGCGCGGCGCGGCGACGATCGCGAGACTGTGGCGGCGCAGCGTAAAGTTGCTTCTTTATAGCGCGGTGTGGACGGCTAGGAGATCCGCGTGCGCGTGTGTGCGACGTTCGTACCACGCGCGTTCGAAAAGCGCGCGAGAGAAGGGTGGTGTTGGCGGGACGGGAAAGCGCGGACGAGGAAGAGGGAGTGAGATAAATCGACGTGACGGGATGAGGCAAAAAATCATGCTGAATACACGCGCGCGCGCGCGCGTGCGTGCGTGCGTGCGTGCGCGCACACAAATGTCCTCAAATAAGGAGAGAAGACCGTCGGCGGCGGAGGTCGCGCGCGTGCCTTTCTCTTTCGGCGATTTTTGGGGGAGGGACCGCGTCTTATCCGCGCTCGCCCTCGCCTCGTTTTCGCTTCACCGGTGTCATCCGGTAAAAACCGGCGGGAAGCGGCGTGTGACTCCCGCGAGAAAAGGGAGTGAATGACTTTCGTGCAACACAAATCGCGACACACACACACACACACCATGTCCAACACGCGAACGGATGACGGCCGCTTGGTGGGGCCCAAGCTTCCCTCACGAGGGACGGCAGGAAGGGTATCATCCCGCGCTGGCGCTCTACCCTCCTCCACCACCTTGCGACTTGCGGCGGCGACGACGGCGGCGCGGGCGGTCGCCATGGCGAATTCATTGTCACCCCGGATTCTATCTGGGCGCCTCTCTATTTCCATCTCCAACGTGGCAACGAATCGCGGACGTCAGGAGGTACCTGCCCACGCGGTGCGTTTATGGGATCGATAAAAACGTGCCATCCTCCTGAAATTCGGACCTCTCGCGCATCTCTCGAACCGTGTGTGTCGTTTGAATCACGCCGTACGTTCACGTGCGACGCAGGTAAATAGAGATCCGCGCGCGACGTCTTCGACGCGATAAGACAAACGCTCTCGAGACGAGGGTATATATACATATAGTTTCTTTCTGGCTTGCCTCTGAGAAGTCGGACGTTACCCGCTGAATAAAATTCGATGCTCACGCAGCATCCACGTTTTGGCGCGCGATCGAAGAGGTACGCCACCCCTCTCCCGTTGAATGAACCCTTCCTCTCTCCCTTTTTTTATCGATTTTCAGGACACGGCGCGTCGCGCGCGCGATGGAGGGAAAGAAAAAGAGGGAAAGAGACGGAGAATTTTGCCCCCCTTTTTTTTTTGTTCGATACACCTCCACTTTATGGAGGCTCGCGCGGTGCGGAAACCCGTTCGTCTCACCTTCGCGACATCGCACGTATACTTATATAGGACGAAGAGAATTGCCATGCTCGCGGACAGCAGCGAAACTATTCGGTTACACGATGCAACGCTACACTCCTGTTGCACGTGAGGACGCAGAGGACGTCGCGAAATCGCGAGCCGACAGTACGAGCTACGAGGGTAATTCAAGCTCGAGCCCGCGCGAGTTCGAAAAGCGCGCGGGCGACGGGAAAACGAATCTCTCTCTCTCTCTTTCTCTCTCCCTTTCCTCGACTCGTCGTGTCTTCGTAGGTGGAGCCAGCGACCGCTTCCTTGCCTCGATGGATCACTCTCACTCCGCTGTCTCGAGCTATATTTGTATCTCGGTGCTAGTATATTACGATGAGAGAGAGAGAAAGAGAGAGAGAGAGAGAGAGAGAGAGAGAGATTATCGTTATTTATTAAGCGCTTTAGAATTGTGTTCTCTCGAACATTAAAAATGATAACACATAATTAAAAATCAAAGAAAATATTAAGAACCAATCACAAAGTAAAGGTAATAACAAACTAACAAAAAATAAGAAAAAAATTATATAGTAAAAGATTTAATATAAAATGCAAAGTATATAGAATAAATAACGTAATCCAAATTAATTAAAATAAATAGAAATGCAAACTACGTGTTGAGCGAGAAAGAGCAAAATAACCTTGTAACTATAATGAATTTTATGATACAGCGAAAGAACGATTTTGCTGTGCTATCTAAAAATTTAGCTAAATACATATCTGAAAATAATTTTATTACACCATAAAAATAATTACGTTGGAATATTAAGCAAGATAAGTAATGCTAAGTTTTGATATTCTAGCAACCAGTTTCAGCATCCTGCATAATTATTTTGATAGTTTAAATGAAATTATTTTCAGACCTGTATCTAGATAAATGTTTAAATACTTTAGCAAAATTATCCTTTTTGTGTAACTGCAGAAATAGTAAAAAATGACTGTGACAATTTTAAATTGAGTAATATCAAAAAATATCCTTAAAGCTTCCTTAAAAGTCACTTAAAATGCGACAAAGATTTATCAAAGATGATAAGAAGAAAATATCAAAAGTAAATATGAATAATCTTAAAAAGAAGACTCGAATATGATATTAGACTTCAAAAGATAAAATTATAAATATATATTTTGCAATAGATATCATCGCATTACATTATCGAGAATCGGAAATTTCATAATGTAAACAATTTCTCGTTATTACTCAATAATCTGTATTTTGCCGATTTGCATAGAAATAATTGATCTTCATATTGCTTGTAATTTAAAAAACATGATTTAATGCGGTTAAAAAGATGCTTGAACAGATTCTCGAATATATCCATATATATTAAAAAAGTATATTTATTTATTATATATTTATATAAAAATTATATACAAATATTAGTAGATATATATAACTAGCATGTCGTTGATTGAATCTACATCTTATTATTAAATTAATGTTACGTTTTTAAATAATTTACTGCAATGATAATTTTTCATAATAAAAAAAGCAAAATTATATTGGTTTGAAAAATATCAATCTATTAAAAAAAGTCACAAATAAATAATATAAATAGTACTTTATAATAAATAATTGCTTGAAGACGAGATGACTGTTCTTTTTAACGGTAGTAATCCGATCTTTCAGTTCATGATAACGGAAATATCTAGTCGACATTAACAAGCGTCATTTAAGTCTGACAAATGGGAAGTTGGTGCGTTCCCCGATTCGCGATCCACGTTACATACATTGACCACGTTACATACGCTACTTCGATTATTCCCTCGACGAGTACCGAACAGATCGAGTTGCCCCATTCAATCGAAAACACACTTTCGGCCCTCCCATCCCCACCCCCCTTTCCGTTGCTGAGAATAAAGAGGAATCTCGATTTTTTTTCTTTTTGCGCACGAGAGCTAGCCGAACGGAGGTCGCACATGAATAACATCGTGTATTTGCTATCCGTAATTTAGAGCGGCACGTGTTTCATGACACTCGACACACACACACACACACACACACGAGCCGAGAAACCGGTGGACGGGACTAACGGGATTATTAATCAGCAAGTGTCGAGATCGGTTGAGAACCACTGGCGCGCGTGCGACGACGCGAAATACGAGCGCGGGTTCGTGAGGATGAGTGCGTTGCCTTACAACCAACGGCGTTAACAGTATTAAAAGGAACACACCGAATCGAAAGAAAATGACTTCATTTTGACGTCGTAAAAGTCCAAATGATAATTTTTTATTGTAAAATTAGACTTTATCGACGTTAAGAACTAAAATAAAGTCATTTTCATTTTGTGTTGATCTTTCCCTTGAGTACTAATGTTTCTTAATGCACCTCCGGACGATATGCCAACTTCGCACACATTCGCGCAATACTGGCCTACATTCAATATATCAACAATTATATATATTATATATGTACGTATATGATATTTGTTAATGTGTTAATGGATGTTACAGCCATATTGTCTACTTTAGTAGACGCCTTTCGTAAAAGGACAAATATGAAATACTATGAAAATAAAGAGAATGACATAAAAAATCAAATAGTTTGTCAGTATAATAGAAGTCTAGCGCGGTAACTGGTGCGCAATAAACAATTTCTATAATTATTATGTAATGTACAATAACTATACATTCCGTAAAACATGATACGTTTTCCGCACTAATCCCGCGTATGCCCCCTTTCCTAGTTTTATTTGAATTTGAATGAGTCATTTATATTATGATATAATTATTAGAATTGAAAAATTACCAAATTTTCTATCTTTTACAGGAACATAATCTAAAAAATAGAAACAATCGATAATGACCGCTTGATACCCAAGTAGAACGACAAGTCATTATAATATCAAAATAACTCCGAAGTAATTATTAAGCATCATTTTTCAATAATTCACGATTCATTTTGCCGTCATTTTGACGTTACCGTGACTCGTTGTCCTGCTTAGGATACCTACTTTTCTAGTGTTAACAGTGTTAACGGTGCCCAGAGTAACTTCGTTCTTTTTCTTTTACATTCGTCTTCTCCTCATGATACTTCAGATTTACATTTTTCGTTTATGCAATTTAATCGTACGGTTCAGTGATCATTGCTGGTTTGCGAATAGCGTAAAGAAAATTGGTGGAGAGAAGTGGCGTTAACCGCCCCGTACCGGATATCGTTAACGCAGCCGACTGTACGTACTTGCGCGCATACGAAAACTGCGCATTCGTCGAGAACGAATATTCCCGGGGCCGCACGCAAATGCGTCCTTGTGCGGACTAATTGCCGCGCGCGCGCGGTCGCATTAATTGCGTGCTCTCTTTTCCACGCTCCTTTTTTGTTTCCCCCCTTCCACCCCATCCCCCCCCCCCCCCACCGCTCCCCCGAGCGTACTCAAAATGTCGCCCAATTGCGGGCAATTTACTCGGCCCACCATGGGTCAATGCTAGATCCCGCCATACCGCTGTCGACGACCGCGAACAGATTCCACTCGAATCGTCGTCACCATCGAATATTCGTGACTAGAATTATTCGCGATTGAGCCGAGATGAGACTCTTCCGCACGCAGGGTGATCTCTCTTGAAACACGTTTTAGGTATTTACAGGAAAGTTTCCTCGATTGATGACCAGTCATCAATTAAACGACGAGCTTACAACAATAAAACATATATAAGTCTGTTTTTTTTTTTTTTTTTTTTTATAGAATGCGCTAGAACTTTTTTTCTCGCTTTCGCCAGATACCAAACATACATATCTATATTTTACTTTTAGTTTCAAAAGTGTATCAGTTCAGGTACAAAAATCCTGTGACTTAACTGTATTTTCCTTCTTCCAGTAAAGTTGGAATGCAAAGTACAATGCACAGAAATAGTTATACACAGCAGTGATGCTCAACTTGTGGTTTGCACGTGACCCGTATGTGAATTTTTTGCGACTTGTCGAGCACAAGCTCTAAAGGATATCCTAAAGATGTACAGAGAACACATCCTTCTGTTCTCGAACGTCCTAGAATGTTCCTATAAGGATATGTCTTTTGGATAAAACGCTGTATGGAAATCAAAAATATAAAATCATTTTTATGCAAATGAAATAAATCAGATTTTTTCTGTTGATTTTTTTTTCAATTAAGTATACTAGTTCGCTGGCCTACAAGATCTAGAATGTTCCTGTTGAATCGTTTCTTAGAATATAAGCTTCAGTGAGTCAATTCGAAATATTCCGGGTGTATTTTCAGATTTAGAGCCGCGGATGCCACGCAGCTCAGCCAGCTGACGAGTTTATTCTTGCTGCAATTATAAAATTACACCACGATGAATAACAAGAATTAATCTGAAGGGTGTAAAGTTTCCTTTGATGTAGCTTTCATTTCTTCCTTTAATTTTCCTGCTACTCCTCACCTCTTTGACATGATCCGCAACAACCCTTGGGACAGACAGGGATGTAATTGCAGAAATGGCGTGCCGACAATAGGGTGAATCGCTTGCGATAATTCCGTGTAATTTAATTTGTAACCGTGGACCGTTTGAGCCTCATTTACGCTCACTGGATTAATCCCGGGGAAATCTAGAGAAAAAAAAATAAACAAAATGTAGAAAAAAGAATGCGCGTGTCTCACGACAATTGCCTATTCCCGCTGATGAATACGCAAAAGGTGATCAGTGTTAATTAATCTAAACGACATGACGCATTTCCGCTCCGCCGAAACGCGTTACCGGGATTAATTAATACCGTCGACATATCTGCGCGAATATTGAAATAGTCGGACACGTTTGCGTTTATAATCAATAAAACGATGCATGCGAGGCAGGGATAGCACGAATGTACAGTGTACCGACAACCGCAAATTTCAGGTGTGCGTATTCCCATAAACGAAATTTCGAGAAGGTGCCCCATGCTGCTACCTTTAGAAACAATTTAGAAAGTAGATTTGGTTTTTGGTTTCATTTTACATTTACGGTATAAGTTCTTTTTTCGAAGAATTCCTTTTTTCAAAAGCACCTAGGTAATAGATCTCTTTTAGTATTTACAAGTATATTTTACAATTTTAACTATCGTTTCCGGTTTACCTGATTTCCAGCCATTAAAGAGAAGCATTGGAACGCTATAGCTAATAGACCACAGAACGTGATGCTCGATGATGAAAGGCGTTTCACTTGTGGAAGCAGCCTCGTGCGGATCTTCCCGAAATCTCACGTGGAACTCCTCGTCATTGTTATCATCGCCGGTTATCGAGCCGTCATTTCTTGCGGTTGTATTGCTTGGAACGAAGCACTTGGCTCTTCTGACTAGATAAGCTTGTCCAGGAATATCCTAAGTATGCGTATCATGGACATGAAAATTATGATGTCAAATGTCGGTATCCAACCCAAGGAACACACAAAAGTCAACTCAAAAAATCAAAATGAACTTATTTTGATTCTTAACATTAATAAATAGTAAAACTTTGACATCATAAAAGCCATTTTAACTTTTCTCTTAACATTCGAAACAAAGTCATTCTGACTTTTTCTCGTGACTTGGTGTGATCTTTGAATTAAGTGGAACAAAAAGTCACGATGATATTAAAATGGCGCCCAAATAACTCCGAAATAATTATTAAAAGACACTTCAATTAATTCATTTTAATGTCATTTTAAACATTGTCGTGGCCTTAAAAAAATATAAAAAAATTGTCGTGACCTGTTGTTTTGTTTGCATAGAAAAAACGGTTTTGACGAAGCAAAAATTTAGCTAGAGAGAGATGCAAATCTAAAAATAATTTTATTGGACCATTAAAATAATTATATATAAGACGTTCTCTGTTTACTAAAATATATCAAAACATTTTGCAGAATTGCTTATTATGTTTATGCCTTCTGCGTGATTATTTTGATAGTCTAACAAAATCATTTTTAGATCTATATATGATATATGTCTTGAATAAGCGATACCGCTGTGAATATACAATAGATACACTTTTCAATCATTACTAACTTTAATTTCCCCTAAAATAGCTCGCAAAAATATCACAGCGTTTAAGTGTCTTACTAAATTCTACATTAAAAAAAAAAAATTGCAAAGTTTTAAATAACTGGCCGATTTTATTACTATTTAATTACCCGATTTGTTAAAGTTTTCCAAAATTTTATATTTCGTACGTTTACAACAAACAGCGGATGAATAAACTGCATAATTGTGAAATCCATTAATAATGTTAATCGAATGATTCAATTTGCATACTTCATACGTGCGTTCGATTTGCATGTAATTTGCGCGAATAAGTGATTCACGATGGTACACGATGTACCTTGTCCCCGTGGAGCTCCCATCCGTCCGATATCTTGTTTGAAACAACAAGAAACCTTTCTGCATTCTCGAGGAATTCCTCCCATGTAACCGTGCCGGGGCCGTCCATTGGTACAAGTCTAAAACATCGAGAAATTTATTCTAACAGACGTACAAAGGTACGTAAAGTGCCCGAGACAACAGCAAGGGACCGCGATATTGCGTTTAATATTTCCGCACGTTTAGTTCTCGAGTTTCGAGAGAACTTGATGATTAATTTTCCTACAGTTCTCATCGGTTAACGTTGCCACGCGCAATTTATCTCGGGTTCCGTCGCTCGGGGACGAGCTCGTAGGCGCGACGAAGAAGGGAGAGAAAGATAGAAAGAGAAAAGGAGAAAGAGCCGTAACGGAATTATAGAAGATTTCGTCTAATTTTGCGTAGCGACGTACGAGTCGCAACGTCGATCGGTATGATAAAATTGAAAAAGGGGGAAGCGGTTCACCCGAGAGAACAGCGTGCCACCTCTCGTTCCCCCATCCCCGCCCGATATGCCGCTACCTTCTCGCCAAACTCTCTATCGCGTCAATTGTCGACTATTCCGCGTCGGACATGTCCGCCGACGTTCGGGTGTAATCGACGTTCTCGCATCGTTCCTCCCTTCCCCGCCCGATTCGCCCCGCGTCCTTCTACGCCGCTCCAGGGATTGCCGACGTACGCACGCCGATAGGAGTTGGATGGTGTGTGCGCGCACACCGGCGTATTATGACCTTGCGTGTGTGCGTGCGTGCATCGGCCGCCGTCCAATCGGACGCGGAGTTGCAGCCAGTGGCGTACCACGAGCGGGCGCGAGAGCGAGAGTTTCACCCTTTTCCACCCCCTCCGCTTACCTAACCGCCTCGCGAGTCCTTTTTAGGACAGCTTCGTCCTTTATTCGACAACGTGCTGTCGGCGTGTCATCGCGCGGGATAGAATTTCTCGCTTGTTTTACGCCTGCGCCCTTTATCGCAAATTCGAAGTATCGACCTATCCCAATATCGCGCAGCGCGTTTTTAACAACAACGATATCCCATACAAGCTGCGACAAAGCAAGCGATATGTCGCTCGTGGCGCTTCATTGACGACGAACGACGATGATTCGCAAAGATTCCGCTCACACGGGAAGTATCCCGGCGCGCGGAAAACGCGCGCTCCGCCAATCCGCTCGGCGGCTCTCCGCTCGACAGGATAGTACGCTTTATTTACCTCGCACGCCGATGTCTATTACCGTTGTCAATAACATGGCCGAGACTAACAACGCGAACCTGGCACGAGATAAAATATTGTAATTTACCAATTTGTTAAAATCATTGTAAAAATATTATAATTATATTTCGTGGCGCAAAAACAAGATAATAAACGGTCGTATAGGTTAACAAGTAGCACGTATATATCACAAGTAAAAACGAAGGAATATCTAATGCCAGAAAGAGTAATTAATTTTTAAAAGCTTAATTGCTGATATTTCACTTGTTAATCTACTCATTGCAATTTCATACGAATTTAGCGTCGTATATAATTTTTTCCGAAGTAATATTTTCGAAAATTCGAAACTACTTGCTTGGAACTTTTGTATATTATAGTTCAGGTATCAGGATTTTCAATTCGTTCTGGGTCGACTTTCATAGAAATAAATGCTACTTGTTAGAAAACTTTCTATGTGGAACAATGTACAAAGAATAGGTAGCCTCAAGCGAATCTTTAGGCAAAGAAATACTTTCAAAGATGAAATATTGTCGGATGGATTTTCTATTATTAGAAAATAATAGTTGATCTTCTATTGAATTCGAAACACAAATTTAAATTGTTAATGCAGACTCAAAACGGAATCGGTTATATTCTCTGTATACACGATGCGACATTTTCGATGAATATCTCCATGGAAATGATAGCAAACCAGCACGATTGCGTCGGGAAAATTACGCGTGAAGGAAAGTAACGGTTGTTAAAGCAATCGTGAGTAAACAATTTTTTCAAATTACGATCCATATGTGGAACATTTTTCTGCTGCGTTCAGCAGAAAAAGCAGTCTTGTAAGATAACATACATGTATCTAAAGGACATTTCTGAGATTTTATTGCATTTTTTTTTAATAGTGTATTTAGAATCAGAATGAAAATATCGCAGTTTAATTTTTATATTTTACTATTTTAGACTGGAAAAGTGTAACTAAAAACACAAATAATTATTATATTACGCCGAAGTTAAGCTTTACAGTTGTGGTAAAATTCTTTAATATTTATTCTCTAAATTCTTTAGAGTAAAATCTCACTCTAAAGAGTGAAAATTGAATCTCAAAAAGAGCGGCTCAATTTCCAATCTTTAAAAAGTGAGACTTCACTCTTCAGAATGGAATTCACTTCAAAAGTTTTTTTTATAGAATATAAATACACTTAATTCTCAATGAGGAACTGAAGACAGAAGCCAATCATAATAAAAGAATCTTACGATAGATGCAAAACTGCTTTTCCGCTGAAACACAGCCACTTGTTCGTATATCGACGTATACACGTTTACTTCTAATGTAGTTTAATTTGAATCCGGTTCTATACTAACTCTTCATCTTTCTTCAATTCTAAGTAGAATTAAAAAGAGGATAAAGAGTAAATTGAATCGAGATTATCCACGTATATCAAGTTAATCGGTAGAATACATACATCGGTAGAACCGGGCAACACACGGAGAAAATTCATCACGTAACCTGCACGGAGAGATGGGGCTTCGTTCGCCCCCCCATTTTTCGAGTCACTCGTAACGGCACTGGCATAACACAAGCGGTGATGCGCGCGCAGCGTCCCCGGCCGGTGCGAGGGACGAGGACGGCGCATCGATACGGCGAGAGATCGAGCGATAGGGGCGACCGACGTGAAGGGAGGCACGAGCGAGCGAGACAGAGCGTAACGAAGATACGGAGTGAAGAAGAGCGGCGGCGGCGGCGGCGGGGGGGACTGGGGAGGGGGGATTGATACGGGTATACTCCGCCGACTCATCTGCGTGTAGTCGTGCAGCGCGTGCGAAATCCACGAGTCACACTTCCGAACTTGCTCGTGTTTACACGACAGTAAGTTCAATCCGCTCCCACTCCTCCTTCGCTCCGTGTCCATCCTACGTTCCATCTCTCGCGGCTGTCGCGTCTCTCTGGGCATCGGGGCTCTGTGCGCGGGTGCGTGTACGTGCGTCGTGCGTAAGCTTTGTGTGTGAGAATTTTACGTTGCGCGTTATACATGTGTGCGCGCGCACGGAGCACGTATGCGTTATGTACTACATCGTGCGGCCGCAGTGATACACCGTTCCCGTGTAGCGACTTGCGAGACGCTTTTGGGCTGAGCGCGCGCGACAAAACGATATTCGCCGGAGGACGAGAGCCGCATCCGGCGGCGGCAACAACAACGACGACGACGACGAGCGGCTGCTCGTCTGCAGATCGTCTTCGATACGTAACGACGAGTACGAGGAGGCGACCGACGGTACAGTGACTAGTGAATGAGCGTACAGAGTGAAGTGAGCTGACGACGACGACGACGACGATAACGACAGTAACGAGGCGGTTGTGATCGCGATCCGAGATAATAAGACGCGTCGCGTTCTAGTGGTTGTGAAAGCAAACGATAATACCAGAAAGACTACGAGGTTGCAGGAAGGAAGTGCAGAAGAGAAACGATGAGGACTTGGACGGCGGTGGAGACAGCGACAGTGCTGGCGACGACGGCGAGGCGCCCCCAGCGACGCACCTGAACCGCTGACGATTACGACGACGACGACGATGTCGTCGTGATGCGTCGCACCGTGTCGCTCCAGTATCGCGCAGCAGCAGGCACCTCGCTCTAGTTGTGACGCGACGTGTTCGTGACGTGACGCGGACGAAAGCAGGACGGAGAAGACCTTCTTCTTGTCGACGTGAGCGAGTGAGCAAGACGGGGAGGTGAAGAGGGAGAGGAAGAAAGAGAGAGAGAGAGAGAGAGAAACGGAAACACCTCCCGCGAGGTGTTTCCTTTCTGTGCTGCAGCAAGCAAGCGAGAGAGAGAGAGAGAGAGAAAGAGACAGAGAGAGAGAGAGACGGACATAAACTGAAAGAGTGGTTGTGCGCGTGTGGAGTGTATGTGTATGTTCCCTGTGTACGTGCACCTTTTCCTCGGCGTTTCGTTTGACACGACGTCGCACGTCAGCGACGTAAGCACGCCGAGCGATTACCGTTCGCCGTTCGCTCGGGTGAGCGAGACAGACGCCGCCGTCGCCGCTGCCGCCGCCGCACACGTATACAACAGGGAACGCGCGTAGCGCGCTCACGAGTGAGTCCCCGCGATATCTCCCGTTCTTTTTACCACTCCAGGCCGTCCAGCGGCTGTGCGAAGGAACGGCGGCGCACTTGTGTTTACGCTAGAAGAAGCATTGACCGGCCACCACGGCGACCATGTACGCGAAGGGAAAAGGGTCGCAAGTGCCCTCGGACTCTCAGGCGAGGGAAAAGTACGTATCGTATCGCGTTCAGCGAGAATAGAATAGGAGAGCGAGCGAGAGAGAGAGAGAGAGAGAGAGAGGAGAAAAATAAAGATGATTGGCGTTCCGTTGTGAAAATTCCACGACCGGCCATTGATCGCTCGGTATAACTCCATTTTTCTCGGGCATCCTCTTGCCTCCCGCCGTCCCTCCCCCCCTCCCCTTCGCCCCACAACCCGGAGACCCCGCTCGCTCCATCCGCGCGGGCTCTCTTCCCCTTCCACGCTCCCGCACCACCCTCTTCGCCGTCTCGCCGGTTCTTTTTGCTCGGAGCGTGTGCATCGCGCGTACATCGCGACCGGAGAACCCGGTTCGTCGGGTTAATCCAGTTTACCTACCGATGGCCGATGAGCCATTCGTTTTGTCTTCTCTCTTCTTTCGCTCTCCTCCTTGTACGTTTCTCTCGTTCGAATGTACATACATATACGCGATGATGCTTCCTCGCTTACCTCCCCTTTCCTCTTTCATATCCGCCCTCCCCCCTCCCTCCCCCCCCCCCCCGAACGTCGCCAGGAGAAAACTCACAAGTGAAAATTCGCGAGAATTCCAACAATTTCCTCATCAAACAAGCTGACGTTGTTCATCGTCGGTTGTTCGTCACGTTAAATGACACTGGCGGATTCATGGAGTGGGCTGGGGGGGAGGGGGGGATCGTGGTAGTCATGCTCCCTTTTCTTAGTCTCCTCTTTTAAAAATATTTGTAGCGCATGTTTATATTTTTTGATATTTCTGAAATCCTGCGCAACTTTGATATATATTCCAAAAATACTTTTTAATTAAAGAAACTCTCCTATAAAAAATATAGTTTCCATTATATTATTTTTTTCTCTTTGTATTAATTTAATTTGAAATAAAACGTTTTATGAATTATAAATTTAATGATACTTTTGCTGTATAATAATGTAAAAAGTAATTAATATTCTATGATATAATCAATAAAAAAGGGACATGTAAGAGTCAATTCTTACATTCTCCTTTTTTATTAGTTATATTGTTGGCAAAAAGGGTCCTTGTACTGAATTATTTATTTTTAATATTCTATTTTTTTTTATTATGTTTGGCCTTAAAAAAAGTTTTGCTTGCAGCGAGTCAACGGCTTTCCTTTGATAAATTTCTGGATCTGCTAATATAAAATAAGAAATAACGTCAGCTTGTTCGCTGGGTCACTTCGCGAATCTCTGGATCCCATTTTCGGAACAAATCATTTCAATTCAAACATGAGGACTGGTCCAATTCATTACACTCATGGAATCACTGGCTGTTTCCAGAATATAAATGGCTTTGCATCTGTAAAATTCTTCAACTTAGTACACACAATGATTTTCCTTTACCACACATAATGGATCGTGTCCTAGGTTAATTATCACTTTAACAGATAAAGACTGGTTGTTTCATCTTCGAGTAAACTATGTGATATTTACCTACTGAATAAACAAAAGAGTAAAAGTATAAGATAGTAAGAGAGTAAGACAGTGAGCTGAAGTTTACCTAAAGATGGAACAACTCAGCCTAAAGGTCATCTACAATGGCAGGAAGCAATAAGGTGGTAAAGTTGTAAGAATAAGAAATTGACCAATCATTATCGAATGTGAGAAGAACAATTAACTGTAATTGGTCAATTTCTTACTCTTTTATATATTATATACACACAGCCTTACCACCACTGCTTATTGCCATTGTAGATGGCTTTAATGATTCTTAAATATTACTTCCAACATCTTTATAAAGGATCTGAAAGATTGTGTGTATTTAAAACAATTATTGTATATAAATGTTATAACTAATCACTTGATGCTCTTAATTTTTTGAAAAGAAGAAATGTATGACACAACCCAATTATATGTAAAGGGTTAATTATATTGATCTTTCATTCTTAGTTACTCACTGAATTTAGATGTATCAATTATTTATGTTAAAGAATCTTACAACAGTTGCAAAACTTTCGTCTACTGAACACAGCTATTTCATTCTTAATGTTTATCAAAAGCTTTTTATTTGACTCACGTTGATTTGATAAAGATAAAAAATTGTTCTGTCTTTGTTATTCGCAGGATATCGAGTCTCTGTTTTTTATGATTAATTTGTGGTTTAGATTTAATTTTAGTTAAGCTGATAATAATGTAAAAATTATATTTTTCTAATTATGATTAATCGCTAAATTGAAGGTTATAATAAATGTTACTCACTACAAAATCATCAGTTTAGTGATTAATTATAGGAAAATGCAATTTTTATCATTAGATTAAGTCTAACCACAAGTTAACCAGAGAATGTAAAATTCTGTTCAAGAGAGGTAAAACGACGTTTGTGTCGACTCGTGTCACTAAATGAAAAGCGTCCAAAGTTAAACGAGGAAAAATGGTACTCATGAACGTTGTGAACGTAAATTGGAGCAGCCCTGAATCTCAATGGTGCAACACCGAAAGACAAATGAATATGAGCGATATCAAAATCATTAGAAAATTAAATCAAGTTGAATTATGTCCGTTTTTATCAATGTAGATTAACTTTAATCTCGGTTCAACTTACTCACTTATCTTCTAATTCTTGGAAAAAGATGAGGAGGAGGCAAGAGTTAAATCGAGATTAAAGTTAATCTATATTAGTGGAAGTAGATATTAGGAAGTTAGATTATATAATTAATTGGATTAGTTATAGATTATAATCACTTATAGTTGACGTGAGTGACCCCAATCGTAACTTTTTCAATTTGAAATTGTTTCGATTAATCGCGCGAAGTTGTCGATATATCGATCTTTTTGTTCACGATGTTAGGCCATATCTCGAGTTGCTGCATTCGAGTTTTTAAACTCGGGCTTCGTTTCTCGTACTTTCCCTCTTCTTTCCCTCTTCTTTCTCCAAATATCGCGAGTATGTACTCTAGGAAGGCGAAACTTGAATGAACAAACTTAACGTTTTAGTTACGGAATGAGGTCGGGAGCAGTCGTTAACTGGAATTAGCTGGTCATAAACCGCCGATGCGACTGATTGCCGTAGCAGTTGTAATTAACTCGCAACTCGCGATACCTCGACCCCTTCCAGATCGCAGTTCTGATTGCGATGCGGATCGAGAATTTGTAATTTAATCGATTGCCGGGTATGTGGTCTACGATCGAACTCGAGTAACTCCCCATATGGCACAGACTTCCACAGGACGTCCTGAAGACATCAGGATGTAAAATGTGTGTCTTTTGGTACTTTCCATTTACCTATATTCATTTCCACCAATGTAGATTAACTTTAATCTCGGCCCAACTTACTCTTAATTATCTTCTAGTTCTTAGAATTAGAAAAAACTGAAGAGTCAGTTGAACTGAGAGATTAAAATTAAATTACATTGATAGAAATGGGCATTAATGACACAAGTTGTTTTATTTCTCTTGGCATCCGTATTGAAGATTTGGAATTGCGAATTAGAGATTATAGAATTCAGCTAGTTAGAACGAAAAGGATTGAAATTAAAATTATCTGACTGGCCGAATTTTAATTTCCAATTCGGAATTCTTAATTTTCAGTGCGTAGTGTGACATAGGCTTCAGGAAGTTTCCCCAATTTTGTAACATATAAGTATAATAACAATTATGTCGTTTGGTATTATACAATAGGGGTTGAGGAAGTTATTTTTACAATGGTAAAAAAAAGCAATGACAAAGTAACGATACCGTTCCGTTTCATGATGTACACTAAAACAAATGATGCTATCAACAGCATTTTATTTTAACATATTTTAATATTTCATTAATTTGTAAATATTTTTGTCAAATCAATAATACTATTAATGAAACAAATACGCCATGCTCTTGTTTTGATATAATTTTATTCCTTTCACATCAAGTATTATTAATAAACAAATTATTTTCAATTAAAATACTGCTGTTGATGTAACATTTTTTTTCAATTCATGATGTATAATTTTCCCCTTGTTGTTCATCGAATATTAAAGAAGGATAAAATAGAAAACATCATACGCATTATACGTGAAATCGAGCGCACCCAAAGGCATGGAAAATTCTCGAAAAATATCGCATATGAAAATATACGAAAATATTATAATATACGCGTTACGTATATTATATAATAGATTTCCCTAGTTTTGGGTATGCAGTACACTTTTCGAGAATCTGGCCCCTGGACGGGGTATTGTTGGTTGAAGCGTGCTGTGTGCTTCAAACGCTCGGAAATCGGAAAATTGAGGATGGAAAAAACGAAATCGACCCGGCCAGGAAAGATTGTCTAGCTCGCACGTAACCCGCTTTCTCGCGAGAGGCGATTGATCCGCGCGTGCTGTCAGTCACCATGGAGTCGCGTACGCGCTTCGCTCCGATTCGCGGATCGGCGGTTTCCGATTCCCGCGCCATGTTTGTACCGCCCGGCTCTTCTCTCGGCGCGCGGGCTCGCTCGACGATGCATCCAACCGCGCGTTTACTGCCTTGCGCGGGGAAAGTCGGCGTTAACTTCACGTTTAACGGACGGACCCGTGCTATTGTCGAGGCGGCATCGAGTTAAGTATGGGCTTTCTAAAAAAAAGGAGAGAAAGACTCATGACGGATACCGATTCCTCGTTTGCGTAACCCGCTCGTCTTTTTACATTTCCCGTCTCTTGCTGTCTCAAAGTTGGTTTTTACTCAAGTTTTATCAATGGCTAATGATTAATCATATTTCCAGATTGGCGCTTTACGTGTACGAGTACTTGTTACATGTGGGAGCACAAAAAGCAGCACAAACGTTTCTGTCAGAGGTATTTCTTTTGATCTTTATAAACCTATTACATCTGTATCATTGTAGACTATTGTCTTACTACAATACGATTTATTCTGCTTGTTTAGATTCGATGGGAGAAAAATATTACTCTAGGAGAGCCACCTGGGTTTTTGCACTCTTGGTGGTGGTAAGTATAATATATATGTTACATTAAAGAAATTGTCGCAAGGACGTTCCAGTGTAAAATTGTTATGAAATTTCTTTACAGTGTCTTTTGGGATCTGTATTGTGCTGCGCCCGAGAGAAGAGACTCTTGTGAACACAGCAGTGAGGCCAAAGCGTTTCATGACTATGTAATTATATTAATGACTATAATACTCTTTTGTAATTTGCATAAAATTATCGATTATTCAATGTTGGAGCAGCATTTAATATTAAACATAAATGCACACAAGCATTTGTTACACTTTGCATATTATTTATGGCACATTTCTGTTACCAGGGATTCGTAAATAGTGCTTACAACGTCAATGGAATTGCACATGTAAGTTGAACAATTTTTGTCAAATATGTTAATATATTTAAATAAAAGCATATATATTAAAATTTCTTTATTTTAACGCATTGTTTATATTGATTATTATAGAGAATCGGTATAATTAGTAAAGGTACTTTTTAAGATTTAAATATTATTTCTTTGCAAAGAAGAAAATTAAAATTAAAGAAATTGAAATAAATTTGAAATATTTACAGAATGCTGGGCCAGCCCCATCTCCAATTGGTCAAATGCCACCAAACGACGGAATGCCTGGTGGTCCCATGCCTCCTGCTTTCTTCCCAGTGAGTTCTCATTTGTTAACATAAAATTGTTTTAATATTATTTGTTTTTACCTTTACTTACAGAATACATAAAGTGAAAAAACTATTATTTCATTAAATCGGTCGTCACATAATTGTATTTTAATTACACTTAACATTTGTAAAATTTATTTTGATAATTTTAATAAAAAATTAAAAGATTTATTTAAATTATTACTTATTAATAGTAATAGCATTCTTTCTGAAATGATTTTAAATAGATTTTGAATGATTAGATATTTTGGAAAAAAAAAGGATATTAACGTTTTGAACAAAATTTAAGATTCAAATATTAATCTGAAACGCATATTTTTATACACTAGATATGTGTATGTGTATGTTACACACACATAGTCGTGTATCTGTTATCATTGTTATGCATAATCCTTTATTAAAAATTTACACTTGATTCAAAGCATAATACAATTCAGCTATTTTGAATTAAAGATTGTAATCAAATTAAATCAAATTTAACAAAAAAGATAATTTAATTAATGAATCAAGAAAAATAGAAAACATTTAAGTAAATGAAGAACTTGGGTTATTGTGTTTAGAAAACAATTATCGATATTGATAATTTTAAATAAATTACATATAAATAAGTGGCAGAACCGATTTGTGTACAATTTTTCTTTCTTTTGATTGAGTTCGAAAAATAAATTATATATTTTTATATGATAATTATTTAACTAAATATATTTACATTACCGATAAATATACACACATTAGCCGTAGTCGTGATTAACTTGTTTTGAAACAAGTGTACATTCAAAAGACGTTCTTATGTCATGCTTGTCTATACTGTATATATGTACTTACTTTCTCTCTGCTCTCTATCTAATACTTGTATGTGCGTTCTTGTACCATTTTCACTGTTTCATCTTCTTGGCGCATAAAGCAAATCTAGAAACTCTATGAAGAACAGGATTATAGATGTTAGAATACATTTAGAGCACAACATTGTGGTACAGTAAGCATATCATGAAGAGAGTATATTATACTTTGCGCTGGCCATGTCGCAGTAGTACAAAATTATTGCAGGTAGAGACTTTACCGTTTTATTTGTGCCATGCAAACATGTGTTTGCAAAATATATAAATTAATCGGCCGATTTTATTATCATATTTACTTTGACATAAATTAATATTTTAACATTTTTTCTGGATTACATAGCCAGCCAAAGTTGTACTCTTTAGAATGTATGGGACAACTAACATGGAAGCCTGCTTAGATGTAGTCTAGTTTTTTTCACAAATGATCCACAATATTATTTGCATTATTTGACAAACATTGATTTCATAGATACTACAATAATTATGTATCATGTGATTAATTATATGAACAAATTAGAAAGATTTATAATTTTTTAAAATACATGTATGTAAATATGTTTATAATTCTATAAATTTGTGATTTATAATAATCATATATTTGTCAAAAAATTTCAATTACACGCAAAAATATAGACTTTTGGTTTTTTTTAATCAATATTTAATATTTATTCTTTATCTATTTGTATAATGCTAAAACTACGATTCTTTGTCATTAATCTTTATGATAATATTTGTGTCAATTATTTATTATATATAAAGAAATATACATAATATAAATTGTATGTGGAAAAAAGAAACTGAAAAAAAGTTATGCATCTCTTGCTTGTCAAAGTAGTCGTCCCTTACTAGATTAGAGAAAAATAATACGCTACACAATATGTAAGTGATACAAATTGTTTCTAGATCTCTCTACATACATAGGTATCCTGTAATGCTTAGGAGTCATCATATCTTTCCAACGAAATCATTTTACGTTCTATAACGCTGTACATTTTATAATTAATTGGCATCTTTTCATACTCTTGTATGTCTTATTTCACAGTTTAAAATCGATTTCACATACAGGTTGTAATTATGAAAAGAGGGTGTACAACGACAGACACTGAAACGTTATTAGAACGATTTTTCCTAATTACAACTTTCGGATAACTTAAGATGCTGAGACCGATCATAGTATTAACACAATCATCCCCAAAGCCTTCTAGTCTAGCTGTTGCCTGGATCGCAGTGTTGCTACATGTCTGTCGTTTGCGTTGCTTGTTGCAGAACAACTCGACAATGCGACCATCTCCGCCCACACACCCCTCATCACAGCCATCCCCCCAGCACCCCCAGCCACCCCCGCCCCCACACTCGCAGATGATGTCCACCCAGGTAAGCCTCATTCAACACATACACTCTCACTCATGAAGAATCACTTATTCCGCTGTGTCATCGCACCATATATCATGGTATAACCGAAATTCATAATTGTCGCCACAATCGCTATAATTGTTTCCTTTATAATGTCCTTCGTGTTTTGTCTTTATACATATATTATACATATTCAGGTATTAAAACGAGTTCTACAATAGTTTAGAATATTATATTCATGTTAAATTATAAATGAATCTCTCTCGTCTACAATCTGGGTTTATGAACGTTGTATAATGATAACACCAACTAATGTGCTGCGATGAACTTGAAATGCATATTTTATGGCCTATCATCTCACGGATTGCTTATTGTGGCTGCCTGATATTTATACTATATCTAGTCAATTCTGTGTATAGTAATCATGACTGACACTTTATGGATACTTAATTTACACCTTCAAATTATGAGATTAATATATTTTGTTACATGATCAATTTAATGAATGTTTATTTTCTGTTACAGTTTATGGGCCCTAGATATCCAGCAGGACCACGACCTGGAGTACGTATGCCACAAATGGGAAATGACTTTAATGGAGTAAGTATGAGAAAGTAATTTATATATTATGATTTAGTGCTTGGATAAATATTAATATCTGGGACTACCTTGTTTAAATAAATAAATGAAATAATAGTATGTACATACAGCGCCTATTTGTGTATGTAGCAATGTCTATTTTATATCTATTCATGATTTTAATTCTTAAAAATATTTATATTTAAACATGCATATACTGTAAATATAATACAGAATTATAAATTTATGTCATTTTTTTTACAGCCACCAGGACAGCCAATGATGCCAAATAGTATGGATCCAACCAGGCAAGGTAAGAGATCATTTTTATGCCAGTGTTTCATTACTTTTTTCTGGCATTGACGAGAGTTGCGAAAGAAGAATGACATAGACGCATGCGTACCAAAAACCACACAGCAATAAACGAATAAGTAATATTTTAAATTGGATTGGATTGCTGTGATGTGGAGTGGATTGGTTTTTGAATTGTCTAGTTACAAGCAGTGGTGTAGTTTGCATTCGATTGTTATTGCTAGATATTCAGCAGTCTTGTGTATCTTAGTATGTAAATGTATTTCAATGGGTCTCTTTACCAAATATTTTATTTGATATGCTTATAATATAATTTTTTTTAAATTTTTATATAAGTAATTCATGTCGTTACATAGGATATGTATTTTTCAGGATATTCTGTAATCTCATAAATTTAATTTGAAAAAATACAGTTTATATTCTGTTTTTAAACTATTACGAATTAATGAATGTAAAAATTTAAATGAATGTAAAAATGAATTTTTACGGAACAGATAAAATGGCTTGGCTTTCAATCCGTTTATGTAATTTAATTAAACACTTAATCAACATGATTTATTCCAGTATATGTTCAAGAATAATTTTTAAATAATTTTTTTAGTAAACTGTGTACCTATTACATTAAAATAATAATTCATCTACTATACCACTGCAAAATAACTAGGCTCTACTACCATGAACCCGACCTTACCTACCTGCCGTACTAATGTGTGCTCTTGTGTTCCTCAGGCGAAGCTGGAGAATTTGTAGGGTGGCAAGGTAGGAAGCAACCCAAAAATCACACTCACATGACTTAGTCAAGCCTAACTTATATTTTTTTTCTCCTCCTTGCCTTCGATATTTTTTTTATTTTTATTTTTATGAAGATAATTGCACCGGCTTTGTTCTTTTGCAAAATGATTTGCTCATCCGAACTAGCATCCAGCATGACAATCGCAATTGAGTATATAGACGTGTAATTTTTGATTTGATGTGTAACAAATAATTTTTTAATATAGTTTATATGAATTTTGGCACAATAAATACAATAATTGTGATATTTTGTTCCATGTTTCAAAAAGATCGTTGCTAATGTACATGTGCAAAATATTATTTTGGAAATATTTATATATATATAAATTAAATTGCATATATAAATGTATCTTTTTGCGGAATTTTCTACATTTTTTATTTGTAATTTAAATTAATAAAAAATATTTATATCTGTTATTATAATTTACATTTAATAGTAATTAAAATTTGTTGCGTATTATGAGATCATGCTACATGCAAATAGAAAAGATAGGCTGATTATGTTTGTGTTTAACAAATATATCTTTAGAACATTTTCATTATCATGTTACATTACATCTATACGAAATAATATTAAATGTATAAGCGTTTACACAATATTATCGCATAAAGTAAAAAATCGCTTTTATCTGAAATTAAAATTTAAGAATTTTTTTTAAAAGAATTTTAATAATATACAGCTAACGAAAATTACTTTGTTTTTTTTTTATATTTGAATGTATAATTGTTTGCTATTTAATATGCTGTTTCTATCTTTAGCATGAGCTTTTCACTATGTTAATTTGTGTGGTGACAGTTGCTTGAACGGCATGTCATCCACCGGCTTTACCTTGAGCTCGACTTTGGCAAAGCATGACTCAGTTTTGATTCTCACTTTAAGTCCGCACTTAATATCGCACATGGAGCCCACTCTCATACACAAGTTACTTTATCTTAGATTTCACAAATCCACAATTTTTATCGTGTAGTCCACAAAATCGTAATTAGCAGTTAGCATTAACATAGAACTAGAACAAACGTTAACAGTCTCTTATTTAACGATTAAATTTACCAAACTGTACTTTCTACCATAGGTCCACCAGGAATGAACCCAATGAATCCCAGAATGAATCCTCCGCGAGGACCGGGTATGGGACCGATGGGTCCTGGAAGTTATGGTCCAGGCATGAGAGGTCCACCACCCAATAGTACTTTGGGTCCAGGTGGACCAGGAGGTCCTGGGATGCCACCAATGAGTATGGCTGCTCCAGGTGGTAGACAACAGTGGCAACCCAACACATCTACGGTACAGAGAAATAAATATAAATTTTTATTTCTTGGTATATTTTTAATTTTTTTAATGCTTTTTAACTTTAATGAATACAAATATATTTAACATCTCTTTGTGATACAGCCAATGAATTATTCGTCGTCATCGCCGGGCAACTACGGAGGGCCGCCTGGATCAACGGGTCCACCTGGACCTGGTACACCCATTATGCCCAGCCCACAGGATAGCAGCAATAGTGGAGGAGAAAATATGTATACCATTATGAAACCTGTACCTGGGGGAAATATGCCGGGTGTAAGTGACTAAATATTGTAATATATAACAACTATTTATTATATTTAAATTTATTATATATTTACTTTTAATTATTCTCTTCTAATAAGCTATATCTGGATTGCCAGTTTTTTTTTTAAATCATAACAAATGATTAATGTCCAAAACATTTTTGTCCATTACATGCAAGCAATGTTATAAATATATTTTAGGATTTTCCAATGAGTGGCGGGCCTGAAGGTGGTCCAATGGGACCTATGGGTCCTAATACAATGGGTCCGGTTCTAAATGGTGACGGTCTCGATGGAATGAAAAACAGTCCAGCGAACGGTGGTCCTGGAACACCACGAGAAGATAGCGGCAGCGGAATGGGTGATTATAATCTGGGTGGATTCGGAGCTCCTGGAGAGAATGTAAGTATGCACAGGTTGTTTGATAACTTTTTCTAATAGTCACACACTCGACGTGTTGTTGTGGATTTGTATGTTATTGTTTTATCTGACTAATCACCTCTTTTATTTATCGCTTTTGCATATCAATGATTAAATCTTTAAAAAATCGTTTTTATAATTATTATCTATTTACATTATTATTTTTATAGCATACAAATCCATGTTACAACTTATTGCCCTTCTAATCATCTCAATTAACAGCCACAAGCGCTTCTATCAGTACGGCGGATATTCACATATTTTGCTAAAATAATATGGGTTCAGTCTCGTTCAAGGGATTTATCCTCAGCCTCGCTCCAACAGGCTTTTTAATGCTTTCTTACAGAGTATCATTTGTCCCTATAAATTTCTCGGAAGGTGTTCTGTTTAATCACGCGTTACATGGTATTTTGGTAAATTTAATCAGCGTCATTTGGTCGCATCTAATATTTGTTATAACCGTATTCGCTGAAATTGCGTCTAACTACTATCACACTAACAATAACGTCTAACGATGCAGTTATAAAGTAGGCAGAAAAATGATGAGATTCAATAAAATTTAATAGTTGATTTTTAATAGTTTATTATTTATATTTGATTTCATGAAAAATAATTTATACATATTTATATAAATGTTTCAAGTTTTTTCTGCGTACTTTATAAGGTGAAACACCAAATTATAATACTTTCGTGCGACAAAGTAATCGAACTTTTGATTCAAACGCGTATACGATTTTACATGCTAATCTTATATGTTGTTATATGAGATTATCAGTAGGATATGACAAGGAACAGTCACGACGCTTTCGTCTTCGATTTTGCTGAAACTTTGGCGATTTGCCCGATAACTGAAAACGGCTGAAAAGAATTTTTATTAAAAAAATTTGCGCTTATAAAACTTGAATCAAGCTAGTCTCTATATCTAAAGTAATATTTATAAATTTATTTAAACAGTGTTAGAAATTATTATGTGTAGCAGTAATTTATATGTATATAATAATTTTTATTACGCTATTTAATTCAATTTAACGCTCTACCTTATTTTTTTTCAAACTTTTGTTTTTATTGTACGCACGTGTGATATCTTTCAAACGAAGGTTTCTATGATGAAAGAAACAAAAATCGTGTTATTAATCTTCAGTTATTTAGCGTAATCCGCAAAGTTTTGTCGTAATCTAGAAGTGACGGCGTCGCGGACGTTCTTTGCGAGTCTTGCGAAAAGAGTTATCAGTAATCACGTACGTGCACCTTCTCTGTATTCTCGACAGTTTTTTTAAAAAATCAAGTCGCCTTGGAGCCAGCCCCGAGTTCGTAGATGCCGTAGACTTCGCACATGGTGTGCCGGTTATATACATGTAATGCGGAAAAGCATCACAAATTCGCTGCGTATTCACGTATTCCATGGTGCGTTCCGGCTAGTTTCGCTATAGTCCGGCACATGTAGTGGTTCAAGCTCGTAGCATGCTAGAGCGAAAAAGAACAAAAAAGTTAATGATATTCGTGTTAAACGCAGCGTGCGGTCGTTATCGATTGCTCCTGCTCGATTAGGATTAGCACTTAAGCGCTCATAATTGAACTGCTACCACTAAATGGCGCAGATACTTGAACAACGATTATTCTTACACGTGCGCCTTGCCGTGTATAGGAATATGATATGTATATGCTTTGTTTAAATACTCAAAAGGTTGCAAGACTAGATATTTTATAATTCTTTTTTTTACGTTACTATGATTACACCAGGGATTGAAAACGGTAAAAAAGTTGGTTATTTGTCTATATTTATTTGTTTAATACATACTGAAATATATAATAAAAATATATAATATTATATACATTATATAATATATTATATACATTATATAATATTATATAATAACTGAAATAAAAAGTTATTTCAAATAAATAATGTTATATTATATATATACATGGTACATATAGCTTTTTGATATTATTATAATTATAATGATATTATTAATATTACATTATTTACAGTATTTAAAATACTAACACATAAATATTAAATTAATACTTTTATTTGAAATATATTCTTTCTTTTTTATAACAAAAAGACTTTCTTGTTGTATACTGTGTTTGACATAGTATAATATAATTCAAGATATTTATCATTGCGATTTTACAAGAATAAATGCATATACACGATACGCATGGTATACCGGAATAATCGTTGATAAAATTGTTTCCATCTTCAATCCCTGGATTATGCCTATATTTACTACGGAAACTAGTTAATATTTACTTAAGAGATTTGTCAGATTATTTTTTATTATTTATATTTATTTGACAATTATATACATAGGTCGTAAGTAAAGGTGCCTGAAAATTTACGTGAAGATTGTTACATAAGACACGAAACACACATATACACACTTATACATGATAGAATATACGTATATAACTATCCGCTACTGTGATTATTGATCGCATAATTATTAATCGATTTTTACGTTCTTGTTTTTTTTTTAATCTCGTTTGAACGCACCACTCTGAGTTGTACTTGATACTGAGTTGATGTTTAGCTCGTTCTTCACTGCATTATAGAGTTAACGGTGTAAACTGTAAACGGTAGATGAGGATTTCTCTTGGAAAGATAAATCTCGCGCTGTTCTTTACACCTACGTGAATCTAGCAATCTCAACTTTCGCACATCTTACAATAATGATCACGTGACTCTGTAATAACGTGAACACAGTCTAGACAAACTCGGACCGAATCCCTCCAATTATTTGCTCACAGTCTGTTCCGAATACCAGGGTCAGACATTCTGTCTTTCTTGCATCCGTCATTAACTTTGCAAATGGAAATTAATATATTGTACGTACGTCTTAATAACGGAATATATACGTATTACTGTTTCTTGTTCGCGAAGCAAAGTTGATACGAACGCGTAGAAATTAGAAACGATTAACGAATTAACAATGATTTTTTACAGGGGAAGCTCGCGCAGTACTGTAGAATTTCTAATTGCCAATTTTTATATTCCTAATCGGGATAATTAGATGTCATATCATGCTTCTCTAAAACTGTTTTCTAAAATCTAATGTACATTGTTTACTTTTTATATCTTGCTTTTTATCACTTTTTACTTTTTGTCTTTTTGCCTCTTATCCTGTTTCTTTGTTTCTTGTCCGAGTTAAAAATTGATCAGAAGAAAGAAGAAACTTGATTCTTGATAAAACGGCCATAAAGAGGGAAAAAAGTAAGAAAGTCACAAAGATGTAAAAAACAAGAAACTGAAAGCCAAAAGCACATTGTAGATCAAGTTTTATGCAGTCCGTGAATATCGTTCGTGCGGTAATAATGTTAAATTAATTAGAATTGTTCCTATTTAAATTCGTGCAGAAATCAATCAACGCGCGTTTATGACCCACTAACACTTAGTTTCGCCATCGTTTCTCGTGTAAAGCATGTAAAGCTCGTCACTTGCTCAATTTTTAGCGTCACTGTAGAACGAAAGGTGGAATCTCTATTAAAAACAAAATTTTTAATCTACGTATTTTTAATCGTTTGGTGCGACTCGAGCAACGATAATTTTATGTAAATTAATCGATCGTAGCTTTCACCTTTGACACTAGTAATCGATTGACATTGTACAACAGTAAAGGCGGATCTCTCAGCGAACGGTAGTTCGATAGTTCGAGATTACGCGGTATTGCGAGGCAAAGGTAGCTTAAACGAAGTACTTGGAGAGAAAGAAGTATATAAAAAAAATATATATTATATATATATATGCATATATATATGTATAATATATTTATAATATATATATGCAAACGTTAATATTTTTGTATGAATATAAGATACGTAGACATGCGAGTACTGAACCTTAGAGAGCGAATAGATAAAGAAACGGAAGATAAAATGCGATAAGGGTGAAAAGCGAGAGATTTCCCGGAATCCATCCGTCCGCATTGATTATAGGTCAGTACTGGACTATACTGTGCTGCTATTAGTTATGTTTAAATTAACTTATAGTGCCGAGACATCGATGGAATTTTATGTAAAAAAAAAAAAAAAGAAAAATACACGGAGAGAATGCGGGTGAGAGGGAGAGAGAGAGAAGAGGAGTGAGTGTGCGTATGCTCAAGTGCATGCTCTGGGATCAAACGGCAAGACGCTGCAAATTGTTTTTGTTGTCTCGTTGTGAAAGCTCGTTTTTTTTTTATTTTTACAAAAGCTACCTTGCTACGAACGTTCTTGGGCGTTCTTTAACGCTTTTTATTCCGGTTTGGGATCGTGGATTAACAGATTGATCGTTATAAGAAAACGGGGTATTTTGCTTCACATCATTTATACATTGTCAAAAATTTGTATACTTGCACACACTTTGCGACAGATGATAAATGACATGCAGCAGACGTTTTTAGGATGAAATACACGAAATATTAATATTATTTGGTAAAGTTGTGACCGCGCGAACGACGTGGTGACGGGTTTATCTTATAACTAAAGCTTGTTAACTTACCTCATCGGAATTATTTGCCGTCCATCACAAGAGATATTACAGGATAGCCTCACAGAGCGAACTGCTTGCCGATATCTCGGAGTTCTTGCCGTCTTGCCGTTAAGCCCATACGTCAAACGGAGAAAAGAAAGTACACGCGCGCTTGTGGAGTCGCATAATCTTTTCTTTTTAATGCGAGGACGTACAACACGAGTCAGTGAGTGAAGGAAAAGCTCGGCAAAGCGGCGCATTAAGGGTACGAAGCTTGAACAACGTGATTTGAACATGATGAATTGAAATTATCGATATTGCTGATTTTCACGATAGTCGTTTCCTCGAGCTGAAACAACGTCGACTTATTTTGCGACGTTGTTCCTGGTTCATCAGTAGCGGTAATAATAGAGACTCGTGAAACAGACAGGTGCAGTTTGGTACCCTTAATGCCAATTTACTTGATATACTCCTCGTTGTAAGCCGAACGTATCGCTGAATGATAACATAATTAATATATGCCTATAAGCCAGGCGAGATCGAGACAATAAATGTAATCCTGTTACACTGAGATTATTGCGTTTTTCTTTTTTATTTACGATTAAATCCGAGGGGTGCTGGCTATCATCGTATTTATATATAACTATCCGTCTCCGTGTATTTGCACTTGTGCTAATCACACAACACACATCACTTGTGTTTCACTCGTCGCTTTGTTCGTACCATCCGTCCGATTAGCGCGATCAGTATCTAATCTTAAATGAAAAATCGTTGATTTTAAGCCAACTCTTGAATCATTGATACTTGGACACTGATCACCGCTAAGTCGGACGTTGCACCACTATCGCTGCGGCTGTGGAACACATTGTCATGATCGATGTTGCACTCTCGTTGAACGGTTCTCGAGTGTTTTCTCGTATTCACTGTGTATGAAATACGTATAAAATCGGACTAGAGCAGAACAGATAGCTGTATATAGTACTAGCCTGTACTGACCTGTAGCACATGGATGCGTCAGCGCAAAGCGTATCGATGGATTGCGAGACACGAAAAATAAGCGGAGACAAAAATTCCGAAGGGGCGGAAGAGTCTTCCGCTAAAAAAAAAAGGGGGAGGAAAAACATAAGTGTGTGAAGGACGACACGTCGAGTTTCTCTAGATTACCTTTTTTTCACTGTACTACCTGTCGTTTATAATCGGTGAGGTGTGCGTGCGTGGGGGGGCAGGCGACGATAATGAATTTTTCGTTGTGTTTTATTATTATTATCATCATCACATCATCATAATATTATTATCGTTATTATTATTCTTATTGCTGTATTATGTTCAGCTCGACACGGGCTTCACTATCTTACGTAACGTCCATGTGTTGTGGGTCAGAGCACCCTTAAGCAAACAGTACCTCAAGCTCCAACTTTTCTTCCGGTTTCCGACAACGAGACCTCCCCCAGTATCCTGTCCCACGGAGTTTTTCGTTTCACGAGCCCGGCCCCTTCACGACGCACCGCCATCACGTTGCGCTTTTAAAAGCGTTTTATTCACCGGCCAGCGTTTTCGCACATGGGGGTGAAGACGGATTTTAGTTCGCGGGACTCCTCGGTTTCGTCGTGGTTCCTGCGAGTCGCGATTGTACGTTCTCGTGCTCTTCGTTCTACCCTGGAAAGAAATTACTGGGCAGATTCTTGGCATAAGCATTCCTTAACGCGCGGCAACGTGAAGAAAATATTTAGCTGATCATTTACCGCTCGGGCTACGAAAATTGGATTCCTTGACCGAAATTCCGACGCGCGATTACCGAGAGTCCCGCGAATCACGCTGGTGAAAGACGCTGCGCACGGAAAAACTTGGGCAAGGTTGATGGGCTTGCCTGATCGTTTACGTGTAACCGGCCTTGGTTGATTCGCAGGATCAGACCGAGTCGGCGGCCATCCTGAAGATCAAGGAGAGCATGCAGGAAGAGGCGAAGAGGTTTGAGAAGGACTCAGACCATCCCGATTATTTCATACAATAACTCTTCACGAGTCGTTGGACCCCGAGACCAAATTAACAATATAAGAGATAAACGCAATCGATTTCCTTTCTTCCTTTAGTCCGAGAAGTATTTCCATCCTCTCCTCCTCGCCCCTCCTCCCGTCTTCTCTTTGTCCCTTTGCCGTTGAAACCACTCTCCTGCCTCGTACGTTTCCTATTCATCCCTTTCTCGGATGAAACCTTTGCTGCACCTCACCACGTATAAGATCTTCCTCTCCTCTCTTCTTTCCGAGCCGTCGAACGGCGTAGATCGATCTCCGTGAGGAAGGGCGCAAGAGACGACCCCTCTTACGCGCATTGGCGACCCATCCTTTTTGTCGCATGCTGCTGCAAGGAGGACCATGAAGTCAGGATGGGAGAGACCTTCGAGACAGAGACAGAGAGAAAGAGAGCATCGATTTCGCACGACTCTCACGTCGACCGACGTTCTCGCACAGCGATGTTGTACAGTATCGAACATTGATGGTGTTGTTATCCTTGAGGTGGATACGTCATTCTGAGCGAACGAGTAACGCGGTCGAGCTTACTTAAAATTTCTCGCAACATGCGGAAATTTCCAGTCGAAGCAAATGTTATCGGGTATTCGAGTAACGATCGTTTTCTTTTTTTATCCGCATTCCCTACGAAGTAAATGTTTCTTGATCAAACTTTATCTGGTTAAAACTCGCATTTACTGTACGTTCGTTACTCGTTTGCTTAACATACGTTCATTCTTAGGATGTAACCACGAACATTGTTCCAGTATCTTACTTAGTACATGATGAAAAGAGAGAGAGAGAAAGAGAAAGAAAGTGTGCGTGTGTGTGATAGTATTATATTAGTGTAAACGTTAAACTTCTGAAATTTTTACGATCAGAATCACGGTCGTTTTCAGGATGAGCCCGTGAAATTTTCTAAATGATCTCGACCGCAGTTCATCCGTTCTCTGTACAACAATCTCTATCGAGATCTTTATTATACAGCCAAGTTCGTACAATCGAGGATTGATCGTCCAAGTTAATTATGATTAACTCTTTGTCTGTAGCTTTATTCGATTATGATTTGGGAAGAACTGGACACTAGCCTGTGTGATCATAGCTAATAAAACTAAAAAATATATCGTTAATTGAAATCTAGTTCGAGAATTCGAATCAGATCGTTGATCATCGTTATAGAGCCCAAGGATAAGGTCGATAGCGTGTGATGTGGACCACGAGAATCGACCGAAAAAGAAAGAGAAAAGAAGAACGTTTCGTTATATAGCTACATGGATACGTAAAGTCGCCACAGGCGCAATAAGACGTTTACGAGCACAAAGATGAAAGTTGCGTCGCCCGAACGTGGGAGATCTTTGAAATTTCATCACGATCGAGGACCAAATTTACTTCTATCGTACGATAAATATGCAATTATTTCACGAACCAAAGCAAGCTTACGATGGAAAGAGGAAGTGCTTAATTTACATGTGGCCGGTTACAAAGTATCTTGCTAGGACTTATACTTTTCCGCGATTACGTTCTGTGATGATTATTTATGACATCGCACAGTTTAATTTGTGCTTTTTTATAAAATAAATTTGAATATTTGAAATTGTCTTATGAATTCTCTTTCTTTACTGATAGATTAACGTACTATAATTAATTATGATATATATTTCAATTTTAATTTAACAGCTTAATCTTTATTTTCACAGATCGTAAAAGATGATATAATAATGTATGATATAATATTTTCATAATATATTGAATAAATATTTTTTATTTTTGACTGTAAGTAACACTTTTCTTGTTTAGTTGATGTATTTATGTGTGTAACAGTCTTCTAATTTATTATTAAATATTATCTTGTAATTATTAAGTATACTTATGATAATCTTTCACGAGTAGTACAATTGACTTGAACGCAATCCTTGCATGATATTATATAATTTATATTGAATAATATTCATGCATGTATAGATGGTGTTTTTGAATCTTACCGACACCAAATAATTACGATTTGTAAGAAACATGCCTATCTAAATTAGTAAAAATATTTGTTCTGGGAAAATAATTACGTCTGAGCGATTGTGCTTTGTGGCCGGTAATGAATGATTGTTAGGACGTCCATTGTAACAATTTTAATAGACAATGATTGGATCGAGCGCGACATTTTTGTACAATTCCAATTTGTACGTGAGAATGATATGCCGTACACGAGAGAAATTTCTTTTAGATTTATATACGATGCGTTTTCTACTTAAAGCTAGCATACTCGTTTTGCTATGATAATGTTCTATTGATTAAAATATATGTAGCACTGAAAAGATCGTTGGTGGGGTTTCACTGCTGTATCATCGATTGTGTAAACATTTGTTAAGTTCGTTTTCAAACGCATCGTTCTTTTCATAAAATCAAAACGCACCCAGTATATCTTCGATAATTTACAAATTAATTTAGCACGCAGATTATTATTTCTTCTTATTTTCGGAGGAGATATAAGAGGAAAAATGGTAATCTCGATCGCTCTCTCTCTAGTGTTGAATTCAGGATATCTTACATGGTATTTTGTATAAAGCATAGAATATATAAGTTCCATAAGATTTGCTGCGGATCTTCTCTCTGGCCGCTTAATTCATTTAGTCTGTTCTTTCTGGATGCACCTTCTACGCTTTTCCTCTTCCTTTTTTCTCTTTCCAAAGCGTAAACGTATAGTTGCTTCGTTTTAAGTGTAGAAAGCGTAAAAAGAGTTGCAACTGACAAGAACAGATCTAAATGATCCATCGAGATGTATCGCGACGCGGAGGAGGATATTAGTAATTTTATTGTCAAATTACTTTGGTCCAATCGGGTAAGATGATGGCAATGGATCATCGCAATCCCTAGATGGGAGTTGCGCCTTATGTTACATACGTCCTCGTATATGTATATTGCTAAGTTCTTAAATGTATGTATTTGGACTCAATCATTATCTCGACCCTTTTGCATTCCTTATTTAAGAATGTACTTCGATAGCGAGATATGCGAGCGGTGATTGTAAAAAAAGAAAGAAAAGAAAAAACAAGAATTTATCCCCGAGGGAAAGTGCGTTTAACTGTTCCATTATTTTAAGTAAGGGTGAATTATCAAGTCACACAGACGTGTCGGAATTCCTCTTTCGCAACGGTTTTCTCATGGGATCGAATGAAAATTAGGAAGCTGATAGTGATAAGGTTGAAGGCCGAAGTTCGATATAGTGATTGAGTCCCCGTTTATTAGTTTACGTATTCGCGATCGAGAGGAACCGATCCGATATCGATCGCGATCGAAGGGCATGAAGAGAGAAAATAAGAGAAACTTAGGTATTATAAATCGAGTCGTGCGCACAGTTCTTCGCGGATCAGCCGGAGAAATTGGAGCGGGCAGGATTTGGATCGCGCATGGTCGACGATTCGTCGTGAGAGACGACTTGTTCGACGACGGCGCGCCCGCATATTCGGAGCGGCGTCTATCCTCCCATCCACCCCTCGCGTCCGGCCCCTTCTCCCCTTGTAATTAATTTACACACGCGTAATCATTATAACATACGCGTTCACACACGGGCTGTAAAACTCGCGCGGCAAACCTCACGCATTCTACGGTTTCACGCATGATCTATCGATATAATTATAGAAATACCTACTACGAATATAGCATTCAGTAGCATAAATAATAAAGTAATTAAATAAATGTCATCTGTATATCCTACCAAGCCTTGTGTTTTGCGTGCTCTCCCAATCTTGCGTGACGACGGTAGATAATTTATCCAAATGGCGAGTCTTGATGCAGAGATCGAAGTCTCTTTGAAGATTTATAGGTAAGTAAAAACTATATTATATGCAGTTACACGATGAAAATATCAAAGTATAAATTTCATAAGAAATGTATTCCTTTCTACGTTTTGTTGCAAAAATGAGATCTAATAACATTGTGTTTCTCTCTCTCTCTTTCTCTCTCTCTCTCTCTCTCTCTCTCTCTCTCTCTCTCTATTCCAAAATCTATATTTTAAAAAATTATATTTAAAAAATTAATAATATTATATTTAAACTGCTATCTAATTGCCTAGTGGTCATCTACTGTGTTATGAATAGTTATCCAATCAATTTTATTTTCGATCCCATATTAAAAAAAGATTACATAAAATTTCAGCAATTGAATAAAAATGATACGAAGGGAATTGACAGTGAGTTATTGAAAAATGGTAAAAAAAAACAATTTTTTACTATACTGTATGTTCCGTCGATTACTGAAAGATTTTTGAAAAATAACCTGGCATACGTGGATATAAAGAAATTAAATTTTTTTATAAGGGCATAAAAAGATAAATTACTTACTAAATTATCACGATCTATGAAATAAACTGTAAAAATTTCAGTGCATTCTTTTTCAGACGAAAGGTCTGTTAAAAAATAATTAATGAACATCGTAGGTACATTAATAGAAATACAGAGCAAAACTCAGTAATCATGGAACACAGATTAGAATATAACCACGGTTTTAATTAGGAAGAAATAGAAATATTAGATGAAGAAGAAGTTCTCAATAGACGCAATTGATCTCAGAAAAGCCATTTTTATTAAAAAAAACAGAGTAACGGATTAAATATACAAAGTGACACCGATTTATTAGAAATTAGATCCATTTTATCATGATATCCTTTGTATATAAATGTTTCTTCCACACTTTATTTTCTTTTACATTTTTATCTAATTAAATTATATTTTATCTAAATAATTATAATCGAATTGTGCCCCTCATTTCCCTTTTATTGTTTTATGTTTTCATTTTTATTTTGACTTTATTATATTTCGATTATTTTTTATCACTCACTTACATATGAATTCTCAACGTGAATAGATGTTCTTGTTTCTAACTGTTAAGGAGCATCGTCAAATTGTTCTCAAGTAAATTTTGAATTTATTAATTTGACAAGTTTGAAGAAATTAGTTTTGAGCTATTGCTCATTTTTTAATTTTATTATAGTGACTTCCATCATAGTTTGAATATCCAACTAGGCAGACGGAGAGAACAATTTTTAATTAACGATAACTTCTCTTTTATTGAAAATTATTTTATTGTAATTTGACACATTAATTCATCCATAATTTCTGTAATCGCAATTTACATTTGAAGAAGACATAATTTGATATCGAAACGTATTTTTACTTCGATTGAATAATATAATTTTTATACGCACATAAAACAACTTGTGACGGCTCGCATAGGCTGATCTTTTTCCTTTCTATATTGTTACAATATTAAATAATATATAAATATATAATTACAATGAATGTAATTTTGTTGAATAAAAATATTACAGTTGAATATATTATTATACCCGTATAATATGTCGCTATTATTCTGTGTGGAACAATAAAACTTTTTTATAACTTATAATATCACAGTATTTTATTCGCGTTTTAGACTCGTATAATCTAGAGAGGGGCGAAACACTCAACAAAGTTTGTTGCAATTTCTGCAGTTGTTTTCTGCTGCTGAAACATTGTCGTGAGTAAATAGTTTTCGAGAACTGTTTAGTGCAATTACAGACATTTATTGTACTCTCCAATATATTTAATACAAACGTATTAGAATGTACAGTGTTTCTTAAAAGAACGGTTGTCAAATGCTGCCTGTCATTAATACTAGGGTTATATTTTATACGGAACCTATATTTATTGTAAGTGCCCTGTCACCTATGATGGAAACTCGCGTGATCGCTAGTACAACTGTACCCCTCGGGTGAGGGGAAAAGGACGAGTGCGGAGCGGTGTATCGGAAATATTAATTTATTTATAACCGATACGTATTGCGGGAATGAAAACGCTTTCCAAGAGAATCTTCCTCGAGAAATTCAGATAACACTGTAGTGCCAAGAAGTCAGTCTCTTTATAAAGTATGGAACCCAGCGTGGAACATTATTACGATATCAGTAAAAGGTATCTGACATTAATCGGTCAGTGGCCTTATCAGAAACTGAAAGAGAGTTTACTTTTCTTGAGCTTTATTCTTATTTGTGATGTCACTATCTTGATTACACAGGTATAACGTTAACTGTCGTTGATCTTTTTTTTTTTTTAAATAGTAGAGATTTCGCACCCAGTCAAATAGTTTGTTTGTAATTAAATTTTCAGATGGCAAGATTTTTCGTATGCGAGAACATGCAGTGTATCTTTGAAACTTTACCTTCACACTTGCTGGCAGCGATTATTCCAGTGAAAATTTTCACGTATCGATTTAATAGTCAGAAAGTACGTTTTATTAATACATATGGTATCGATCGACATTCTAATCCGGAATTAATCCATATAGTTTCAATTCAGTTTCTTTGTAAAAGTTTAGATCTTGTTGATGTTGTAACCATTGAAGATATTACATCCGTATGTCGAATATATCATGTTTCTAGATTAAAGATCTCACAGATCGCTTATCTGTAGATTGGAATATACTCGAGACTAAAACAGAACGTGATATTATGAAAAGATATGCCGAAAATGGCAGATGGTACGTGTTAATATATAGCAGTGAGTAAATCTCTTGATTTTAGCTGAAACTAAAAGAATTTATTATAAGATGATTGTACCATTTGTACCGTTAGAGGAGATTGTTAATAATAGGACTCAATTATCGGACGAAATTACAAAATTTTACATATTAAGTTTTTAGTGATATAATATATGTAACGACTAAATAAATATGAAGATGTAATAAAACGAATTTATTTAAAAACTTATATCATTAAAAACTTAACGTTGAAAATTTTTGTTATTTCGTCTATAATAATTGGATCATATCCTACTAAAACTAGTACATTTATTATATAATAGAAAAAAATATGTGAATTAAAAAGGGAAAAATTTTGGAGAAAAAAATTGATGCACTATAAGAAGAAAATGCGAAACAATTTTATAAATCAAATTTTTATTTAACAAATAAGAGATTTTAATAGACGGATCGATTAATTCTGTTTTTATTATAGCATATGTTTATGTATCTACCGTTTCATTTACAACAACCTCTCTTGTGCCACGCGTGTTGGATGCAGTATTTCCATTGAATACTTCTCGTCCTGTAATGATGCCATATCCAGCGTACTATTTCGTTGACGAAAATCGATATTTTTACTACATTTTTCTCCACATGATGATTTGCTCTACTGTGTGTTTAACTGGATTAATCGCACACGATTGCATGTTTTTTACTTATATCGAACACATTTGCGGCCTTTTCGCCATCGTTAGGTAACAATTATTTATACAGAAAGCAAAATCTTTTTATAGCCAGAAGAAGAATAATATTTCACCAAAAAATAAATATAACGGAATAATAGTTTTAGCTTATGTACGTTCACTTGGAAGAGACTGAAATTAATTCTCAGAAACTCATAACAATGTTATGTTGCGTAAATACTTGCAGATATAGATTTGAGCACGTATCACATGAACGTAATATGGAAAAGAGTATGATTGATTGTCCGGGATACATGTATTACGAAAACGTTGTGATTTCGATTCACGTTCATCGGAAGGCCTTGCAGTGAGTGCGTAATAATGTCGTAGCACATTTTTCTTTCATTAATTCCGATGCTATTAGAATAATTTTTGATGAACTATAATAAGCGGTATTTTTATTTAACTTCTATTTAAATGTTTTAGTTGTCATCAATATCGTATATTTTCAGATTTGCTAAACTTCTCGAAGATACTTTCTCGATATCGTTTGCTGTGCAAATCCTGCTAGTTACAATCTGCTTGAGCATTACCTTGGTACAAGTGAGTTACAAACAGATGTGAATATAAGAATTCCGTAAAACACATAACGCAGAACTAAAACAGGATCTTATGTACCTTCCTCGCGTTCAAGCTCTCATCTCAACTGCACGATTCAGCAGAAGCGATGAGATACCTTGTCTTCATGACGGCTCAATTGTTTCACTTGTTCTGCTTTAGCTTCCAAGGACAAAAACTGATAAATCATAGTCTTGAAACTTGCAGCAACATGTAAGAAATTTAAATTGAAAGTTAATTAGCTAAATATATAATTAATAATAGTATGCATATAAAAAAAATTAGTCCGTTATAAAAGTATTTTCTATAGAATTATACTTACAAGAATTTAATTTCTCAGATCGACTTATTATTTATAACATATACTTTATGTATATACTGTGATTTTGTGTAGATATCATAGTTCATGGTATAAAATACCTGTGAGAGAACAGAGATTGCTCTTGTTTGTCATGAGAAAAAGCATTGAAGCTTGTGCCTTGACCGCCGGCAAAATATATGTGTTTTCGCTAGAAAATTTTACAACGGTAAAGCAATGAAAAATATTACTAAAATACATAGATTTAAAAAGACATATAAAATCTTTAAATGTTCTCATTAGATCGTTCAAAGCTCGATGTCGTACTTTACATTGTTGTCATCCTTTAACATGTCATAATCGATACCTGACGATTAAACCGGCATGCAGTGAGATATCTATGAAAAAAGTTACGCAGAAGTATAATATTATAAATTATATATTGAATAAAGTAATATATATATTTGCTATTATTTAGTGAATTTAAATTATTAAAATTTCATTTTGTTATTGATATTATTGACCAAACAGATTTCCGTTTCGGTTTTCATTTTATACAACTCTAATATACTTACATATAGTTCTGTATAAGAAAAAGTAAAAAGGAATAGCATATCGCCATTTGCTTATTATTTTCGTAAGAGGATAGAGCGTGAATATTGCACGTCGGAAAGACGCTCATCGATATTGCTCATAGCAATATTGAATGTAGCGATTAAGCAACGATCTACAAGACACATGACAGCTTTTATCTTGCAGCTAAATATGCAGATATACATCGTAAAGTCTCACAGAGGAACTCCTATTTCCTTCATGGACATCCAGATCGATATGTTCCTGAAAAAAAAATGGTCTCTCTTATTGATAGGAAACCGTTTGCGTCCTTTTTACGTGACATGGCATAGAAGATATTTGTATTAAAGGTTTTTGCGTAGTATATTCTCTCTTCATGCGTCTGATAAAATATTAATTCGTTTCTCATAATAAGACGAGAAATTCAGTCGACTGCGTGCCAAAATTGTCAAATTGATAGATAATTCAACTCGTGCTATTATTGCGGTAGTTTCGTAGAGTAGCGTTTCAGGACCGAAAAATTGTTCAGCGTGCGAATTGAAAGACTACATACGTAATATATAAATTCACATCTAAGGAACTATAACAGCACTTAAGATCTAGCTCTAACGTTAAAGGCAATTTCTCATTAGATAAAATATAATGTAATATTCGTGGAGAGGTCTGTCTACTTCCATTGTTACGGTCCGGGAACTGTATTATCAGATTATGTATATCCATATCGATTTTAATGTAAATGTTTTCAACGTTACGAACTGATGCCACTATTTACGGAATTAGGTGTAATATGAAAACATGTATATAACTTGAAACAATTTCAAGTATTAGAGCAAATACCATTTTGTATACTGTTCTAATGTATTTTTATATAGAAATATAATTTAAAGAGAAGAACTTACTTATCACCAACGTTCGTCTCGTAGAGATACCGGACATAACAATGTACAGATTATTACTATCTATCTATAGCAGTTATATATCTGGAAACGAACTATACGTAATCACATCTTGTCAGAGGAACTTTGTCAGAGGATCTATGACAGAGGAACTTTCATTATTCCCTTGAATATTCTAATCGATATTTTCCACACGGGAGAAAAATGTCTCATCCGTTAACAAGCTTCCTGTCACGTTCGCTTTTATTAGGCGTGACATGTAAAATTGCTATCGGAGGTTTCCATCACATGCGGTATTTTTCTCTATTACAGCTGTTAAAATATTAATTCGTTCCTCTCACAACGAAAGTAAGACGAGAAGTTTAGTAGATTGCGTGTTGCCAAAGGTAAAACATTGCTTTGAAAATTATGGCATTCGTGTGGAATGATTACTACAGTCTTACAAAAAGGTTGTTGTCATTTGCCGGCCAGTGGCCATATCAAGAAAAACGAACGAGACTTTTGCGAGTGAGCTCGGTGACTCTGACCATTTCTTCGCTGATTGTTCTACAGGTTCCTCATAGTATTTTTACTATTTGCTATACTAGATTTAAATCTGATGGTCAATAGGTTGCGTAAAAAAATTAATTAAAATACGCATTGTGTGTATGTAACCTACTTATATATCTATTACGCTCGTTTTATAAACGATATATAATTTGTCAAAATTCATAGTGTTTCTTTTTATTTTTTAACGAAATGTGTAAAAAAAAAATGAATATTAAAATGCACTTGTACTCATAATAATAAATAAAAACAAGGGTATGTTCATCACGTGGATTCGCAGTAGCATTGCAACCAACCTACCTCATAATCGTACAAATATGGCTACTATCGAAGTGCTCGGCTGGCACTACATACGATTCTATATATCGAATATAAATGTGAATTGTAAACGTGTGCATTAAAATGTGCATGTGGCGATTTATCCCTTATTCTTTCAAAATAAATTAGATAAATATCAAATGTAAATAAACTTCAAATTTGTCGCTTAATGGTGACGCAGGATGCATTTCTGATTGATTGTCTGGAGCTATTATATGCGCGTGAACATACCGTTGTGTTTATATCGTGCGTGTATCATAATACACGATATATAAAGTTCAAAATAGAATCTTATTCTGCGAAACTATACCATATAAATCGTTTAAAGTGAGTTTTAATAAGAAAACTTCTAGGTGGCTCAAATCTTTCGTTGCGACGGAAATGCTCAATGTATTCTATTGACTATATCGCCGCTTATGGTGATGCTTATAATTCTAGTGAAATTATATACATGTCAGTTTAACAGTAGCAAAGTACGCCAATACTAAAATTTATACTATATATTTGATAGGAAATTCAAATTTTTGTTATCCTTTGTAATCGCGGTCGTTTACTTTTACGGTCGTTGGACAATCCGATAAGATTTAACATTCATCGAGGATAACTTTTAGATCAAAAGTCTTGCTGATCAACTGTGTGACGATTGGAAGAAATTGAATGGTGCGGAAGAATACGAAATTATGAAAAAGTATGCTACAAACACAAAATTGATGTCATTGGCATATTTTTGTAAGGATAAACCGTTTTATATAATTTTTATTTTAATAAATTACGGACTATTATTTCATTTTGTTGCAGTAGGCTTTATTATGGGCTGTATTGTATTCATGCTAATTTTTTCCATCATGCCCAAATTACTGAACATCATGTTACCCCTCAACGAATCCCGGCCTGTAATTATACCCTTTGACGCTCATTATTTCGTGGATAAAGATAAATATTATTTCTACATTATGTTTCATAATATTCCGTGCAGTCTTTTAGTTATAACATCAGTTGCACACGATTGCACGTTTTTTGTTTTCATTGAACATGCCTGCAGCCTCTTTGCTATTGTTGGGTAAGAAAAACTAATTTTTTTAAGTTATTTCAATTATAAATAATTTACAGGACGAAATTACCGTTTAAATATTCGCAGATTTCGTCTCGAGACTCTATCACGAAATGATCGTATAAACGATGTAAATAAGCGTTCGGATTATCGGAAGATCTACACTCGAAAAATCGCTATCTCCGTTGATGTACACTGGCGAGCATTACGGTAAATGCGTAATATTGTATTAGATAGAACGTGTACTCAACATATAAAAAAATATAATGAAATATACCAATATAAATAACACAAAGTTTTTTTTCATTGGATACAGATTCGCGGAGAGACTTGAAGATATATTTTGCATTGGCTTTGCAGTACAAATGCTGATAACTGTTATAACAATGAGCGTTACACTGCTACAAGTACGTATTTTTATTTGTATTTTTCGTGGAACGTTACTTATCATTCGCGTTGCATTACTTATATGCATGGTTATGTTATACGGTTTACTGCATTATAGGCAACATTTTTATTTATTTTTTTATTTTTTGACATGTAATTCTGATCAGCTTTTCCCATAGATTATGAAACTGTATTTAGAAAAGCTTAAGAATATGTCACAGACAGTTTGAGAAAAATCCGAAAAAAATTAAAAAATTATGTTTTTTCGTCATTTTAAAAAATACTTGAAATAATGGATCTTCATAGAAATTCGGGTATTATCGAAAATCACCTACCGCATACCATGAAACAAAAAAAATCCATTTCCAATTTCTATCACTATTAAATCGAGAGATTGAAGTATTCTATATAATTTGTCACGTTTAAGATCGTCTTGAACTTTGGCGAAATTACTGAAATATTGAAGTACTTGATGTATGCCTTTGGTGAAGTATTTCACACATTCTGCTGCAGTGTGCAAAGTCAGCGACTGATTAATCACGGCGTGCAATTGCGCGACAAAATGTAAGATTGTAACCATTTACATTTGGTGAAATAATAAATTTATTGACGACTGAGATGTAAAATTATTGCAGATACAATTCCTTCTGGTACGAAATACCTGTAGAATCACAAAGACTACTTCTACACGTAATGCGAAGGTCCATGGAACCCTGTTCTGTAAGTGCTGGCAAGATTTATGTCTTCTCCTTGAAAAGCTTTACCACGGTAACGATTATTTATGAACCTTATGTCGTTACATGTTTAATTTTGTAACCTCTCTTAAGAATATACTGACTCTTATCTTAAAGGTTATGCAGTCTTCAGTGTCGTATTTTACAGTACTTGCGTCCTTGCAATGAGCAAAATAGTCAATAATGATTTGGATAGTATGCTACCATATTATAGTAATAAAAATTGTGCAGTGGAAAAATAATACTTACACTAACTTATTAATTATAAATAGGTTATTAATAAAATGAAAATACTGTTATTAAATATATTTTTTAATGTTATTGTTTCGCAAAAGTCACAAGTTATAAGAAAAAATAAATTGGAATGGAAAATAAAGAATAGGTAAGAAAAGTGTTTATTAATTTGTTCAGGTTTAAAAGGGAGTTCTTATGCAAGGTAACAGTACTTAGAAGATCTAATTTTGAAATAAAATTTCTGATAATCCCATATTCTAAGCAAAAATTTTTACAGAAAGAGTATTCCTCTTTCGATATAGTGGATTATTTTTCAAAAATGTAATGGATATTATTCTAACTGCTCTCCTCTTGCATTAAGAAGAACATATTTGCTCAAAATAAAGTACCTTCATAAAAGAAACTCATATTAGGAACAATGAGATTAGTATTGCAAATGTAAGAAAAAATTACTCTAACAATTGTAGAAATATTGTGCTTAAAATATTTTCCGCTTAATTTCGGAGAATTTCTCTTGCGGGCGTATATAAGAATAAAACCTTTCAAGATTTAGCGGATTCCACCAATATAAAAATTATTTTTTTTAGTTAGGTTTATAATGATAGACTAGATTTTATTTGTATCTAAAGTCTATAATACGTAGCAAGGTCGATAGTGCAAGTTGTAAAATCAACTGATTTGTTAAATGTCAAGCAAAAATGACGTGTGGTCGGTACTGATCACTGGAGAGTATCTCGCTCGAAATGATCACTTGAATTTAAATTATTATTATAAAAATCAGTAGATCTGTCTCTTCATTTTATAGTCTGTGAAGTTGATTATTAAATCATGTATGTGCTTTGATTATATAATAATAGTTTCAGCGCCAGATTAGGGAACTTTTAGGCCTGAAGCGCTAAGAATTTTCCGACCTCTTAAGATAAAGTAAAAGTTACTAAAATCTAAACATTTATATATTTCTTTGTGTTTGTTGACATAAAACATATTAATTAACATAAATAAATTTGGTCTGTACATTTCGGGTCGATTTCGTTAGCACGCAAAAGCGTTGCGATATAGGGCACATTACGTGCACGCGTGAGGAAAATATTATTAAACTTATAGAATAGCTTACTTATTATTAAAATGTACTGTTAAATGTGTTTTAAATGTATAAATAAATAGGGTAATATTTTTCGCAATATAAATAAATTATTTATAGATTTTTAATACGTTATTCATAGATTTTAATGATTTTAGTGTCATTCAACATTATTAAGATCCAATATGTTACTAGCATCAAAATTGTTAAATTGATAGATAATTTAACTCGTGAAATTATTGCGGTAGTTTCGTAAAGTAACGTTTCAAGACCGAAAAATTTTTCATCATACGAATTGAAAGATTACATACGTAACATATAAATTCACACCTAAGGAACTATAATAGCATTTAAGTTAATATAGCTCTAACGTTAAAGGCAATTTCTCATTGGATAAAATATAATGTTATATTCGTGGAGAGATCTGTCTACTTTCATTGTTACGGTCCGGGAACTTTATTATCAGATTATGTATACCCATATCGATTTTAGTGCCAATGTATTCAGCGTTACGAACTGATGCCACTATTTACGGAATTAGGTGTAATATGAAGACATGTATATAACTTGAAACAATTTCAAGTATTAGAGTAAATACCATTTTGTATACTGTTCTAATGTATTTTTATATAGAAATATAATTTAAAAAGAAGAGAACTTACCACCAACGTTCGTCTCATAGCAATACCGGACACAGTATAACGATGTACAGATTACTATCTACCTATAGCAGTTATATATCTGGAAACGAACTATACGTAATCACATCTTGTCAGAGGAACTTTGTCAGAGGATCTTTGACAGAGGAACTTTTATTATTCCCTTGAATATTCCGATCGATATTTTCCACAAGGGAGAAAAATGTCTCCTCCGTTAACAAGCTTCCTGTCACGTTCGCTTTTATTGGGCGTGACATGTAAAATTGCTATCGGAGGTTTCCATCATATGCGGTATTTTTCTCTATTACAGCTGTTAAAATATTAATTCGTTCCTCTCACAACGAAAATAAGACGAGAAATTTAGTAGATTGCGTGTTGCCAAAGGTAAAACATTGCTTTGAAAATTATGGGATTCGTGTGGAATGATTACTACAGTATTACAAAAAGGATGCTGTCATTTATTGGCCAGTGGCCTTATCAGGAAAAACGAACGAGATTTTTTCGAGTGAGCTCGATAACTCTGGCCATTTCTTCGCTGACTGTTCTACAGGTTCCTCATAGTATTTTTACTATTTGCTATACTAGATTTAAATCTGATGGTCAATAAGTTGCATAAAAAAATTAATTAAAATACTCATTGTGTGTATAACTTACTTATATCTGTTACGCTCGTTTTATAAACGATATATAATCTGTTAAAGTTCACAGTGTACACTTCTTTTTATTTTTTAACGAAATGTGTAAAAAAAAATAAATATTAAAATGCACTTGTACTCATAATAATAAATAAAAACAAGGATATGTTCATTCCGTGGATTCGCAGTAGCATTGCAACCAACTTGCCACACAATCGTACAAATTTGGCTACTTTAGAAGTGCTCGGCTGGCACAACATACAATTCTATATATCGAATATAAATGTGAATTGTAAACGTGTGCATTAAAATGTGCATGTGGCGATTTATCCCTTATTCTTTAAAAATAAATTAAATAAGTATCTGTAAGTAAACTTCAAATTTGTCATTTAATGGTGACGCAGGATGCATTTCTGATTGGTTGTCTGGAGCTATCATATGCGCGTGAACATACCGTTGTGTTTATATTGTGCGTGTAACATAGTACACGATACATAAAGTTAAAAATAAAATTTTATTCAGCGAAACTATACCATATAAATCGTTTAAAGTGAGTTTTAATAAGAATAAATAGTTTCATTTGGTTAAGAAATTAGAAATTTGTGATTTTTACAACCACATCGGTATCTTTCGATCCTTGTTTTTAAGATTCATCTTGTGATTTGTGAGGTATGTCACATGAAATAAATAATGAATTTTTATTATTTTTAAGATTAATTTGTACAAAATGTTTTTCAACGGAATACTTCGTTACACCCAATCTGCCAATTCGATGTGACATGTCTCACAAAATATCGTTTTATTATAATTATTATGAAATTGTACTGAAGATGACTCAATAAGAGTCGAAACGTAAAATATATTTTTTAATCACGATTGAATAATAGTACATTGTGTAATGCGTGGGGGCTAATGTTTATGGCGCGATGGGCACGAACTGTTACGAGCGCAGAACGCCGTAACTTGTAATAATGAGAAAATGTTCGACGACTGTCTTTTGACCAAGCTTTATTCAACGGTGTTACAAGCAAACTTACAGACTAGCTAGCGAGCTAAGGTTGATGACGAGAGTACGTCTTACGAAATTAGACTAACTCGAGCTGAGTTGGAAGGATCTTTTTAATGACAAAAGAGGTGGAGTCTTCTATCAGCTCCAACCAATAACGTGAGATTTTAAAGTACCAAAAATGTACTTAAAAGGGATAAAGAAAAACTGGAGAAAGTGACGATGACTCAAGAGTCCGTTAAAGATGAGTCATAAAATAAGTTCGTTAGACATATACCCCTTTTTTGCCTATAATTCTAAAAACATCATAAAACTGAATATTCAAAAGAGATTTTCAAAAAAAAAATCCGGAAATATTCAAAAGGGTTAAATTGAAAGGAAAATAAAAGGACAAAAAGAAAAGGAAAGCAATTGGTGAAAGTAATAAAATAATGGCAGGAAACAAGGTTTATTAAAAAGGTTTAGGGAAAAATACGTTAAAACTTTTTATGCATTAAAACGTGAAAACTGTTACGTTGGACACGTAACAGAACGCACGAGCGAAGCAAGTGCGTATTCGCGCCCGTGTCGCGCTATAAACAAATTTGCCTCCACTCGCTACACATAGAATTTTTCATTACAAGTGCTCGTCGTAATGTGCCTATACCGAAACGTTTTTGCGCAAAAGAGTGGGGTTAAAGAAATAACTCAACGACTTGAGGTATTGGCTATTTCCTGCACGCAAAAGCGTTGAGGTATAGGGCACATTACGTGCACGCGTAATGAAAATGATATTTATGAAGTCAGAATTATTCAACAGACAAAATTTACTAAAATTTGCGTACCAATAACAACGCTGCACTCTCATTTGCCCCTGAGGATTGTAATTTTTAATAAGAATACTTCTAGGTGGCCCAAATTTTTCATTGCGATGGAAATGCGCAATGTATCCTATTGGCTATATCGCCGCTTATGGTGACGCTTATAATTCTAGTGAAATTATATACATGCCAGTTTAATAGTAGCAAAGTACGCCAATACCAAAATTTATACTATATATTTGATAGGAAATTCAAATTTTTGTTATCCTTTGTGATCGCGGTCGTTTACTTTTACGGTCGTTGGACAATCCGATAAGATTTAACATTCATCGAGGACACTTTTAGATAAAAAGTCTTGCTGATCAACTGTGTGACGATTGGAAGAAATTGAATAGTGCGGAAGAATACGAAATTATGAAAAAGTATGCTACAAACACAAAATTGATGTCATTGACCTATTTTTGTAAGGATAAACCGTTTTATACAATTTTTATTTTAATAAATTACGGACTATTATTTTATTTTGTTGCAGTATGCATTCTTGTGGGCTGTACTGTGTTCCTCGTAATTTCCTCCTTCATGTCCAAATTACTGAACATTATGTTACCTCTCAACGAATCCCGGCCTGTAACTATGCCCTTTGACGCCCATTATTTCGTGGATAAAG